ATATATATATATATATATATATATATTGGCTACACACCCTTATAGCAACACTACATGCGCATGCGCTCTGCCAGTTGCCGTCGCAGTACCAATAGATCGGATTGAATAAACGAACGGGCGAGTTTTTGTTCGATTTCTACACGTTATTGTCTTCGTCGTTTAGTAGAGACTCACGTTTGCACGGTAATGCTGCAGGGAGCCGTAGTCGTAGGGCACGCCCAGCGTTAGCGCCTCGTAGATGATCTCGTAGTTGTACTCCTCTCCCGAACGGATGTTGTCCCAGCTGACGTCGACGAAGTCGTCGCGGTCCGGGCGCGTGTGTTCGTGGAACATGCCGAGCACGTGACCGATCTCGTGCAACAGGGTTTCTCGCTGCGAATATATGACGTCATTAATCGCGTTCGACTCTGTCTCTCTCTCTCTCTCTCCCGCGCCGATTCGAAGCTATCGCGGTGACAATCATCACTGGTCAGCTGGGCAATTGCTCAGTGATTGCTCTTATCATGTCGAATTACGTTTAGCAAATTTACACTGTCCGATTAGCAAACTAGGAAACCGTTTCCGAGGGCGGCATAATAAGTATGTCGGGAACTGAAAAATATCATTGTTTTCACGAGTCTCAATAGAAGAACAGAGAAGATCTTCTGTAACCACTCGCTTTACTTCATTCTCCTTAAGTTTCTTACCAATCAGTTAACATAGGAAGCGAATATTCCAGAAAGTTGGTCTGAATTGCCAACTGAACATATTGGGACTAGCACCATGAAATAAAATCACCATGAAAAATAAATAATATCAATAACGAAACACTATTAAATTGCTAATGATTATAATTATTGTTATTATGAGAAAATATACATTAATGTTATTACATTACGTTATTTGTGTGCGTGGTAGTGTATCTAAACTAGATCTGTAACCATAGCACCACTATTAAAGATTTGCCTGTTGGTTATTTATCCGCCGGGCGTACCTGAAGGCATCCTATGCCGATTGTAATGTTTGAGGCAGGTGACTGTCGTCCGACGTTTGTCCAACAACTAATTTAAAAGAATTATATACGAGGAATTACATTTAAAAATTCAATGGCGATTGGCAATGCCACGTCTATAGAACTCTAACCGGTTATAATACAGTAAAACGGCACAACGAGCGCTTGTTGTTCTGTTACGTCCACGCAGGAAACCATTTCCCTGTAAACATGACTGTGACGAACGAATGTAATGGGTATGACAATAAAGCGCCTGCTATCTACTAGTAATGCGACATGTTTCTCGTATCTCGAAGGCATGATGTCTCATAGCCTTATAGTGAACCCGTTTCTAGATAATCTGTCGCCACAGAGACATTCACATAAACGCTGATACATGTACGTGCGCGCACACACACGTGCACACGCATGCACACACACATACATACACACACACATACACATACACATACACACACACACAGCACACACAGCACACACACACGACACCAAGCAAACACATGCATGTATAACTGCAGGCACGCCGACATACGCGCACCACGCCCACATACCCACACACATCCACAAAACGCATACACGCGCACTCACCCACGCAGGCATGCACGCACACACGCACGCCACACTCACCCACCCCCAGCCCCACTCAGCCAGGCACCCACCCACCCACTCACTCCACTCATTCAAGCAGGCACGCGCGCACGGCGACCACGCACGTACACGTGTATTGACGACCGGCCAGATCTTCCTCACCCGCTGTAATCCGCGTGCCGGATGCCAATATAGTCTTCGTCGGTGCTGTCGTCGCCTGTGAAATCAAAGACAAGTCATTGTCGCCCATTCCCTGAACGCCGTACGTACAATATTCTTCTCTGTTTCATCTGCCAACACCATTATGTCCTTCATGCCGGGTTGAACGCTTTTTAGTCTAGTCCTTTCAATATATATATATATATTATATATATATATATATATATATATATATATATAATATTAGTACATATCAACACGCGCACGCGCACATGAAACGCATACCCACTGTTAAATACCACGCGATCACACCAAGCAAACACACACACATGTGTGGTAATAATAAGTTAACAATACTAATAGGCAATTATGTATATTACATAAGTATTATATATATATATATAATATATATAGTAATGTCATTTGCGTGACATTTGGATATGCGCAGAGACGTGGTGTGTTCAATATTTTCTCATGACCATGCTCATCTGCTGTGACGGGAACTCGTGCACGAACCGCAGACGAGCATCGAATCAGTCGAACAGGAACTGCAGCGGGGTTGGTGACGTCCCACTTCCGGCGAGAAACGGCGTCAGTTGTCGCTTCTTTCCGCCAGAAGTCGTGCTGTCTCGAAGTGGTCACCTCGTCAACGACCGTCTCATCTGATCTAGCGTGAGCAACAGATCCTTCTGGAACGTCGGGCAGCCCTTGTCCCATGGTTCTGCTCGCAACAGGAGCGATGTCAGAGTAATTCAAAAGAAAGTTACAAGGAACAGCAAAAAGATAGAGATGGAAATGAGAGATTGAAGAGTGGGAAGGAAGGCGGGAAGGAGATGAGTAGTTGAGAGGGATAGAGAGCGCGAGTGCGCCGCGCGCCGAGAGTGAGATAGAGAGAGAAGAGAACGAGGAAGAGAGAGAGAAGAGAGAGGGGATTATATGATAGTAGTGCGCCACGAGTGCGAAAGAAAGAATGACAGAGGCATAGAGGAGAACGCTGACGGCAGGCGCAGGAAAATCGAGAGAGAGAGAAGAGAGAGAGAGAGAGATGAGATGAGAGAGAGAGGAGAGCGGGCCGTCGGTTGAGAGCAGATACAGGTTGAGAGACGACAGCCAATCTGGCGTTAGAATACAGTAGGAGAACATTGGTTTTAGAGCGAGATGTCGCAGTTTATTTATCTATCTGATTTATCTACTATCTATCTATTCTATCTATCTATATCTATCTATACTATCTATTTCGTATCTTCTATCTAATCTATCTATCTATCTATCTATCTATCTATCTAATTATCTATCTATCTATCTATCTATCCTATCTATCTATCTATTCTATCTATCTATCTATCTCTCGATATCTATCTAATCTATCCTATCTATCTCATCTATCTATCTATCTATTGATCTACTCTATCTATCTATCTATCTATGCTTCTATCCTACTACCTATCTATCTATCTATTATCTGTCAGTTCTATCTATCTATCTATCTATGCTATCTAGTCTATCTATCTATCTATCTATCTATCTATCTATCGTATCTATCTATCTATCTATCTACTTCTATCTATCTACTTTATCTATCTATCTATCTTATATCTATCTACTATCTATCTATCTATCTATCTATCTAATCTATCTACTATCTATCTATTATCTATCTATCTATCTATCTATCTATCTATCTATCCTATCTATCTACATCTATCTATCTATCTTATCTATCTATCTATGCTGGCTGTTCTATCTATCTATCTTATGCTATTTATCTATCTATCTATCTATCTATCTATCTATCTATCTATCTATCTACTATCTATGATCTATCTATCTAATCTATCTACATCTATTCTATTATCTATCTCTTATATGATATAGACATGTATTTCTCGGCGACGCTCTCTCTCTTTCTTTCTGAGTAACCAAACTGATGAGACAGTTGAGTCTAAAGTCTCACCAGTCCTCTTCCTCAGCCTGCCTGTCGTCCGTCTAAGCATCATCCTGATGACGGGCATATAGTCGTTATAGCATAGAGGAGTTATAGCGCATACCGGATCATTTCGGATCACTGAGTGTGCACATTTCGATGACCGAGCGCGATTCCCTAAGCTTTCAATGAATTCCTCTTATTTATACTCCTTAATCATGTCGCTTGATTGTTTTCGCGAAATCAAAATTTAATGATAGCTATGTAGAACGCATATTTCGATGTTATATCCAACTATTTTTCGCTGCCTCCTTTTATTTCTGGCTATTAATACTTTCTTTTCTTATTTTTCGGCTGCTTTTAAACTATTACACCAATTTACGGTCCACGTTATATGTTCGATCAAAATGTCAATTATAATTTATTTGTATCTTTTGACTGGCCTGTTTAACGTGCATCATATCGGATAAGACTTGTAATTGAAGCTTGAAATTGAGAATTTGCACGTGATATGCATTATTCATTAAAACAGTTAACAATAATATTGTCATCATATAGATATATATTATATATAGTATATATATATATATCAGAAGTAGATAATAAGGAAATAATAGGGGTTTCTTATTATCTCACTTCTGATTATTAAAATAATAACAGCGAGTAAGTAAAACACATTTTTTTTATCACCATTGATATAATTATGTAATTGCACTGCTGAATTGCCTATGTCTTAAATGATGCTTTGTGCGTGTTCACAGGATTGCTGCGTTGGTGGGTGCGATTCAATTTCCCCGCATATGATATTTGCATGATTGTGAGAGGCGTATTGATGAATAGCCTGTTACATTAGCGTTCGCGACAGCCCTGGCGGTAATATAAGCCCATTCGCGGCCAAACCACCGCACAGCTGGCTCGATGAATTCAGTTATTGTAATGACGAATTCTCTCGTAAATATAATTTAGAGAAGATCTCTCCTCAACAGACAACAACG